TGCTTTTTGCAAATTGTTTATAATAACTGTCATGATGGATACAGAGCCAGCTGGCAAGTCCTGTTTTATGCCATATTTTTATTTTGAAACGTTTCCTTCTATTCTATTTCTTTATAATGTTTTATATTTAAAAAATCAGAGGCATTTATATAAGGTGTAAGACTATTCGGCAATATTCCGCATGGAAATTAGTATCCGTTCAGTGCTTAAAGTCTCCAGCTTTGGAATATGTACAAAAATCTTGCCAATATTTGCCACTGCCAAAAAAAACATTGATTTAAATAGATTCTTAAACGAAATAGTCTTTACCCTATAACACCCATCTTCGCTCAAATATCGTCTATAATATACAAATTACTTTCTTGTTCTAGCATCCTCATCCAATTGCTTGGTTTTGCACAGAATTAAAAGCCTCTAGTTAAAAGCCTCTCCTCTAATAATTTGATCGGTGGAAAGGGTTTCAGAGTAGAGGAAAAAATATTGTGTAGGAAAAACAAAATGGGGTTCCATATTAGCACCCTCTCCTCTAATAATTAATATTACTAGCAAAAAAGCAAAAAAATCATAAAACATAATTTTGGCCAACTTTTAGTCCTTAATACCCTCTGTGCGCCGTCGGCGCCTGCAAAAGCATAAATAAATAAATTTTCGTTCCGGTAAAAGCGAGAACGCCTATGAACGCTGGTTGACGGCTCCTACCTGCTTTCACTGTGAACTAGCCGATTTGATAACACGCTTTAATTTTTCAAGGTTATAAGCGCGAGGCGGCGCGGCCCGGCGCTACTATGTAACTATATACAGAGTGTCCCAGAAATACGTGCAAGTATTTTAACTTAACTGGTAGTATAGTTCAACCCCAGAAACACGCCTATGAGGTTTTTTTCTAAATATTTTTTTTGAAAATTCGGAATTTTTGAAAATATTTTTTGGAATTTTTTGCAATTTTTTTTAGTTTTATTTAAAAAATAATTTCTTGATAATATGGCAACGTAGGTAGTAGATTAAATTTATAAGAAAGAAAATCCAGAAAAGATCCAGTGGTTCTCAAACAAATCTCGAAGTATTGGAAAGAATATGTAAGGACCAAGAACTATTGACTACAATAAAACGACGGAAAGCAGCATATTTTGGTCATATTTTTCGAAATAACAAGTATAGTTTCCTACAGCTGATCGTTGAGGGAAAGATTGAAGGACGACGAGGCATCGGGCGTAAACGGTTTTCCTGCATGCGGAATTTGCGCCAGTGGTTTAATATAGGAGAGGCAAGTGCAATTATCCGTTTGCCTCAAGACAGGGAAGAATTCCAATTGATGGTCGCCAACCTCCGATGAGGAGAAGGCACATGAAGAAGGTTCTCAATATTTTAGCAAAAAATCATTTTTTTGGAAATTTTCAAAGTAAGATAACTCCGTTATTTTGGACTTATTTGAAAAACGATAAAGAGAAAATATGTTTCTTTTATCGAGATCTACCACCCTTTAAAATACTTGCACTTATTTCTGGGATACCCTGTTTATAACAATACACGTGATGCGTATACGCAAAGTTGCGAACGATGTCAAGAATAGGTACCCAGATTGGCGCTGGCTACCAGTAAGCGGCAAACCTGCTTGCACTGTGTTCGCACACTAAAGGAGCTAAGCGATTATTAGCAATGCAGAAAAATGTAATTTAACGCATTATCAGTAAATGCATTCCAAGATAATTATTATCCGGTTGGGATGACATTTCAAAACTATATTTACATAATATGTTCAATATATCACGTATTTTCATAGCGATAATTTACCACTATGAGTAACAATGCGTATCTGTCGCCAACCAGTCTGAAACAATTATCGCTGAAAAATTCCAAGTATCATTGACGTAGCTTCCTAAATTACTGAATTAATTATTACAATATTTGTCTGTTTAGGAAATGACGCGAATAAAAAAAACTTTAAAAAGTTATAAATTAAATTAAATTATCAGAAGTCTGTCTGAATATTTATCGGGAAAAAATATGATTACAGTTGATAACAAAATATGGATTAATAAGATTTGCAATAAATACCGGGTGCGTCTCGAAAGTGGCCCACCCCCTATAACTTTTTTATTTTTTCAGATAAAAAAACGAGATTTAGTATGTTAGTATATTATAACATAAATTAGGATTGATTGACGGTATTCAACTGTTTTTGGTCACTTCCTGTTTCATCGGAAATGACTACAACTTTTAATTTTTAAATGGCACCCTCGGTATATTTTTACTTTATTCGATAGAAAATGACACTCTGAGAAGAATGACATATCATATGCCAACTTTTGACATTTTTGCTTAAAACAAAATCGCATTTTAAATTTCAATCTAGAGTGCCATGGCTGTGTTACAAAACACTAATTTTTAATCAAGGAGCCTTGGAAAAATAGATTTGATCGTCTAATGTCTTGTCCCGGCCGGTTAAAATATACCCAAATCGTATTTTTAATCATATTATCTCAACTTTTTCAAATGGAACAAGGAGGGCTCATTATTATATGCATATTTGGAAAAAGCATTTTTTTACGAATACTTTGGTACCACACACTTGGTATTTCTAGTAAAAATATCGTTATAACCGCGTATAATTTGAAATTGTAACTTACAAATAAACCATATGCGAAAATGTCAAAAGTTGACATATAATATGTCATTCTATTCAGAGTGTCATTTTCTATCGAGTAAAGTAAAAAAAATACCGAGGGTGTCATTTAAAAATCAAAAGTTGTAGTAATTTCCGGTGAAACAGGAAGTAACCGAAAACATTTGAATATGTTCAATCAATCCTAATTTATGTCATATACTAACACACCAAATCTCGTTTTTTTATCTCAAAAAATAAAAAAGTTACAGGGGTGAGCCACTTTTGAGACGTTAAACATTGTTGTTGACAATTTCAAAATAAATCTCTGCCATTTAGAAGCGTATGGATTCAAAAGAAATAACTTCAAAAATCGGTCCAACCCTTTAATAGATGAATTTCTATTAGGGATATGTTATATATTATATCTTTTACAATTATTTTTCGATCTATTTAAGCATTTAAACGTTACAACCTCAAGTTTAACTTTGTACTTATTTGATGAATAGATATAGGGTATATTTGATATAGGATTACTTTTTTATAGCTTTATAGGAAAGTTTTTTATAATTTTTACACTTATCTTTCGATTTATCATAAGTTTTTAAACAAGTTGATTTTTTGATTTAAATCCATAATTAAAATTAAAGAATCCGTTTGAGATTTAAACCAACTTGATGATTTAAATCATTGCACCATGCTTTAAAATATGTTCAAAGAGTGATGAAAAATGAGTGACAAAATAATATAAATGTTGCATGGTTTATAAAGGAACATATCCCAAAATTATGTTGTTGCAACCAGGGTGTTCCAAAAACAGTAAAGACTCGAGTAAAGATAATATAATTTTTTATATATTGCAACCATCATTTTGTACAGAACTGGGTTCAGCATAGATATCTGCATATAGTACCTACACTATTTTGATTTTAAGCACCATGCGGTGTTACAATGTTATTTCTTATTTACTTACCTACTAAAACTTTGACAGAGACTTTGGCTAAAAAAAGTATAGGTATCCGAAATCTAAACACCAAGAATAATAGAATTGCCTAAATCCGCGCATAAATCTGTGAATTATAAGACATTCAAAATGTTATAATAAATAATATTATCTCAAAAAACTTACAACTTCTCTTTTTCTTCATCTTTTTTAGGACACCCCCCATACAACAAAATAATTCTAGGATATTCACCTTTATAAACAAACATTTTTCGTATCTTCGTCAACAATGGGCCACCCTGTATCTAAATAATCCCCTAAATAATATAAGAAAAAATCTCGGAAAATACTTATTACTTTCTACCGTAAGATAAAAAACGGCATCCAGTTGGCCGTCCAAGCCATCGCTGACGCCGTTTTTTTTTCGATCTTATGGTACCTGTTTCAATTACAAATGCAAGAATTGATAATCTGTTCTCATGTAGGTACCTACCTATAGCATATTTGATATAAAATTGTTTAATCATACATTGTATGTGTGATTATATTGAAAAAAAGTGTTTAACATCAGAATTGACTTGAAGCTCACATTAAAACAATAACATCTGAAAAAACAAGTTCAATATAGGTATTCGTTTTTTATTTTAACGAAATGACAAGCAGTCTGCCTTTTGACGTTCTATAAATAAGTTCTCTACAAAAACACATTCACCTATTATTTTTGCCATTTAAATTGGCAAACAAGTCAGGTTTAAAAAAACTAATTATCACACCTGCACAATGTGAAATTTGAATATGAATAAGATGACTAAAATCTGGTTCAAAACAATTTTCCTTCACAAATTTTTCCAAAGCGAAAGAATTTTTTGGAGTTGTACCAAAACAAGCGTTGACAAAACCGTTACTGTGACGCTCTTTCTTTATCAAATAACATATTTCCTACATTTAAAAATAACAAATTCTGGCCTTGACAATATTCACAACTGATGAATTAAACTGTTGTGAACGACCTTTTTCCTTTAAATTTTACCTGCATATCCGCGCCATTTAAATTTTAAATGTACCCTGTCATTCATAATAAAAATTGAATTTGTCATGGTTAAACGAGTGTAAAACTAAAATTATCTATTTATTTAAAAAGTAAATATTGACCGTTTCGTTAGGTCGTGTTAATAAAGATTAAAAATGATTCATATTCAATGGTGTGTTAATTTTATACAAGGTATTGTCACTAAAGGGTTTTTAAAATATGAATTTCATGTTAGGTACAAGTTCATGTTACAGGGACTAAGGAACTGGGTGTATTCCTTTAATAACATTAAGATAATTATCAGTGGCCTACTTAATGTTAATGTTTATGGGGACTTGAAAACCATCTCGCAAACTCTCTCAGCTGTTTTATCAGCCCACCTTTTTACAGTTGCTTTTTTTTGTATACGAAATTTTTGAGGTTACCTTTGTAAACAGCTTGATGCTTGCGTGTATCAGTTAAGCCAAATCGAGCATAATCCTGAGACTATAAAATAAGGACACTTAAAATGGAGGAGAGGCACTTTTGTTTTCTTTCTGGCGAACACTATACACTTTAAAAAAAATAAGTTAACCTAGGTATACACACCGACGACTAGGTCATTCCATCACACGACGCGACACAAACAACAAAAACAAACCATAGAATTTTAAAACGGTGTCGCCTACTGGGACTCGAGTATATTTTTTTCACACAAACCGCCGTAGAACTAGTAAAAATTTCCTAGGAAATTGAGATTAACTTGTGTTGTCTGTCTTTTCCGCGAGCGGCGCAAAGGTCGGCGAGCAGCTGATTGCCAGAAACCGCGTGGCCAACTCAACAGGACGAAAAGTTTCTGTGATTCTGACCAATCCCCATGCGCCTACGAAAGAACCACCATTCGATAATTATTTAAAATTATTTGAAAGAATTTTAATGTAAAATTTTATGTAGCCATTTAATCTTTCTCGTGCGAAATCTACAGTTGTGTTAAAATAACCTTATATGTCTACCATGCGAGCAAATATGTATCTCTCAATTTTATCAAAATAATTTCAATCTGAAAACAGTTGGTGTTTTTACATAATCAAATATAACTTAATTCTCCACATGGTTATGTTAATAAATATTTATACATTTTTCAATCTAATGATATTACAGAAATTTACCTATACGATTTACCAAAACAAATTCTCGTGGCTGCTTTAAAAAACAAAATTTAATGTCAACTAAAGAAAGCCTTAATATTTCTAAAAATTCAAGTATAAATACCAATTTTAAGAAAACAAAAAATAGTTTAGTTATATTAAGAGTTATATCTATTTGCTCTTTATATAATTCATATAATCATTAAATAATATGTTTAAATTTCTTAACAATATTATACCACATGAATTGTTATTTTAAACTTAACTATGCCATTGCCTAGCGCATTCGCCATTATCATAATAAAAAAAATATACTGGCTTGGCCAAATTTATTAGATTTTGTGTTATTCTGTTTAAATATAGATTTTTTAATATAGATCACATACCCTTTTCATTTATTTAAAAAATGTTTTTTTGTAAGTAACGTTTTTATCAAAATATACATATTTTATTGCTTTATGCGAAAAATTATAATTCAAAATGAATTGAAATGATTGCATTTGAAGCGCATTTTGTACTTTTAATAATTAAAAACTACTAAAAACAAAGATATACATATTTTTTTTAATAAAAAATAGATGTTATTACAAGCAAGAACAATAAACAATAGGTGTCATTTATACCTATGTATACAGGGTCCGGCAAAAGTGCGTCGGGCATCTGTAATTCCTAAAATAAAAAACTTTGAATTTTGTTTAAGTACAAACCTAAAGTATGTACTAAGCTGTATTTCAGGAAAATATTTTAACTTCTACAGGATGGATCAAAAAAGTGTGAGCGTGGATTCAGATGATTTTTTTAATACCTTGTATATTATTGCATTTTTGGCTTTCTTTCTGATCACTTTACATAGTCTACTAAGATGGTATTAAATTTGTTTTTATAATTTAAGAGGTATAAATAAATAAAAGAAAAAAAAAACATTTTCAGCTTTTTTTAAAAAAAATATTAAAAATATAAGATGTGTCCTGATGTCAAAACTATGCTAGGTACTTACTCTAGTTGATTTGTACTTACTTTATTATTAATAATCGTAATCTTAAATAATACAGGGTATTCAAAGTTACGTGGTAAATTTTATAAACTATAAAATAAATTCTTCATTAGGTGGCTCTGATAAAAATTGACTGTGGAAAATATCTCGTATGTACCTAATATAATACAGCGACTATCTATTGGATACAAAAAATGTTCACTCTCCATCTAACAGAAAAATTATTTTATAGTTTAGAAAGTTTGGTATAGAACTGTGAAAAACCCTGTACGACTTAAGATTACGATATTTAGAGCAAAGTAAGTATAGACCATCTATAGTAAATATCTAGTATAATTTTGATTTCAGAACATTCTGTTTAATATTTTTTTAAGAAAAGCTGAAAATATATTTTTTCTTTATTTCTTAATATCTCTGAAACTATCGAAATATATTTACTAATATATTAAGATTACGTAAAGTGATATAAAAGGAAGCCAAAAATGTAATAATATACTTTTAGTTTTGTTTAAAAAAAATAATTCCGCTCCATTCGCACTTTTTTAAGCCACCCTGTAGAAGTTAAAATATTTTCCTGAAATATATCCTCGTACAAACTTTAGGTTGCACTTATACAAAATTTCCAATTTTTTTATTCTATAAGAGCTATACAGATGCCCGACGCACTATTGCCGGACCCTGTATAGGATGTCACAATTTAATAAAACTTTGATTCTCAAGAAAATTTAATAACACATAATACATTTTTATTTTCAACATACCTAATGCTTTAATTTTTTAAAGTAGCTAAATTCATAGTAGTACCCTTGTAGTACCTAATTATATGGTATGATCGAATTAAAACGGCGTCAGCGATGGCTATGAAATGAAGATCGCTGTCATTTTATATCTAAAATTATATGGGAAATGTCATCGATCGTCATTTCCAAGCCAACTGGGCGCCGTTTTTTTTTCGATCATAAGGTATTTTCTAACATTTTGAACGATAAAACAAGTTTTCAGAATCAACATATTTAATCCTGTAAACTTTGACATTGATCTCAGTTATACTATAATTAAATAATTGCACGTCATTAGGTATATGATTAGAAAAAAAATCTATTAAATATAGTGAAATTATAATTAGAAAGTTATATACGATATTACTTTATAGAGTCAGCGTCATTATACAGGGTGTCCCAGAAACAAGTACAAGTATTTTAAGGGGTGGTAGATCTGGATAAAACAAACGTATTTTCTCTTTATCGTTTTTCAAATAAGTTCAAAATAACGTTAGTTAGAGTTATTTTACTTTGAAAATTTCCAAAAAAAATGATTTTTTGCTAAAATTTTGAGAACCACTGGATCTTTTCTGGATTTTCTTTATTGTAAATTTAATCTAATACCTATGTTGCCACATTATCAAGAAATTATGTTTTTTAACTAAAAAAAAATCAAAAAAATTTTTTTAAAAAATTTGGAATTTTCAAAATTTTTTTTTTCTTTCAAGGCGTGTTTCTGGGGTTGAACTATACTACCAGTTAAAATACTTGCACTTATTTCTGGGACATCCTGTATTGTCAGTCTCACAAAACGTCCAAGCCCAGGGGCATCGATTACGATCAGGGGCGCAAAAAGGGGGGCAGGGGGTTTAGGCCCCCCAATTTCTGGTGCGGGTACGAGTGGTGAGAGGGTACTGAAACTGTTACACCTGAATAAACCTTGCATCAAAGGAGAACATAGTAGTGACAAAAAATATTGACCGTCTAAGTAAAATAAATATGTACTTAGTTTTGGTTAAAATATATGCAAATATAGTTGTTAATACGTGAGATTAAGTAATATCAAAGTAATATCAAATATTTATGGATTAATATTTAAAACTTAGTATACAAGGACTGACCAAAATATTCCAAATAATGAAAAACTAGTAATTGTTACAAAACCTAACCTAACAGGCAAAGTATATTATGTATTATAGAAAACTTTCAGGCGAATAAAACAAATGGAACAGAAAACCATAATCAAGGTAAGACGGAAGGCAGTCTTTTCTATAAAAAAATGGCATATTAATTTTTTGGTTTTTATACAAGTAGAAACATAATCTAATAATAAAAAAAACGATTTTAGGCGCACTTTCTTGCGGACATTGTATTTAAAAAAAAATATTAACACGGAATACTTATTATAGTACAGGATCCGGCTGAGTGATTATTACGCTCATCATATTTTTAATCAAAACCTAATTTTGACGTATCTCTATTAATAGGGGAATATACTTTTAACAGGGTGCCAATAAAAAAGTTGCCGCAAATGGGGATTGCCACGGTTCAAAGTTTTTTACTACTACCTATACTTTATCCGGGTCCGACAACAATGCGTCGGGCATCTGTAGCTCCTATAATTAAAAACTTTGTAATTTTAGATAAGTGCAAACCTATTTATGTATCAGGATGAATTTCTGGAAAATATTTTAACTTCTACAGGGTGGCTCAAAAAAGTGTGAATGGATCGGGATGATATTTTTTAAATGGGACACCTTGTATATTATTGCATTTTGTTATTACATTATATTATTGCTTCCTTATTTCTGATCACTTTACATAATCCTAAGATATTATTAAATATGTTTTGACCGTTTCAGAAATATTAATAAATAAATAAAAAAATAAATATTAACAATACAAGAAATGCCCTGAAATCAAAACTATATTAGGTATTTACTATTTTTAGGTGAGCTAAACAGGGTGAGTCTTAAGAGACTAGCTATACAGGGTGTCTTAAATAAGTGCAAATATTTTCAGAGCCGGTAGATCTCGATAAAAAAACATATTTTCCCTTTACCGATTTTCAAATAAGTCCATAATATCCAAGTTATTTTACTTTGAAAATTTAAAAAAATGATTTTTTAAATAAACAAATCTACGAGTAGCGGAAAAAGGGGCCAAAAACCCTACATATATGCTTATTCTCTACATTAAGTTCATCAGACCGAAGGGAACAGCCATTCGACGACCGGTTTCGGAGATTTTTCTCCATCGTCAGGCCGACTTTGCTGTAACCCTCTATCTGCAGGGTTGCCACAAGAAAATTTTTGATTGTGCAGAACTTGACCACAAAAATGTGTAGCATTGTGTAGCAATCCATGACCAATAATTGTAAACTATCCAATAAGACCAAGAATAAGACATAAAATCGCCAAATTTTAAGAGTATCACTTCCACTCGTTTGTATACGTCAATATATTCATTTCCCATTTCATTTCCTCTTATGCCAGCAAATATTGCAATGACGTCAAAATTGATGTCGCGAAACTAACGATTTAATCGGCCAAATTTGTCCATAGAAACTGCAGTCCTTGCTGATATGGGAGGAAAAGTGAAATAGGAATTGAATATTATTCACGTATGCCAACGAGTGGACCGAACTACAGTGAAATTTGGCCTCTGAATTTACCTTTTAATTAATTAAGCAATCCTGTCTATTTACCGCTTCTGACTGGACCAATAGATGACCGAAAATGATATTTGTCAGTTCAAAAATAAGTTCACTTGCGGCGTCTTTTAATGTAACTTAGATAACTTAAAAGCAAAAAAAAACAGCTTTTGTCAGCTGATTTACTGTTCTGGTAGACTGGTATTATTTTTTATAATAAATATGTAAATTCTCAAAATGTGTAGCACAGGCCATTGTGGTGTAGCTGTGCAGTCATGGAAGCAAATGTGTAGGAAAATACACAATTGTGTAGCTTGTGGCAACCCTGTCGATCTGACCGACGAAAAGCAGAGAATAGCATTTGAGTACAAAACGTACTACTATGGCGAGAGTGCTAGACGCTCTACGCCATCTAGCGGTAGCTGTGACAATCACAGATCGTACAGCCAAAATTAAAATGATTTTTTGTTTAAATTTTAAAAACCACTGGATCTTTTCTGGGTTTTCTTTCTTATAAATTTAATCTACTGCCTATGTTGCCATATTATCAAGAAAATATGTTTTTTTAACTAAAAACTGAAAAAAATTTCAAATTTTTTCAAAAAATTCCGGAACTTCGATTTTTTTTGCAAAAAAACCTCATAGACCTGTTTCTGGGGTCAAAATATACAACCCGAAAAATATTTGCACTTATTTAAGACTCACCTACAGGGTTGGTCTGTAGTTACTTTGCTGTAAATATCGTAATCTTTACATTTTTCTAACAACTTTTTCATACAAATTTTCTAAAATATTAACTAGTTTTTATCCAAAGAAATCCTATAGGTATTAGTTATTTTTTGTAAACACTGCTGCGTTAATCCAACGGAGACTATTTGTCAGCAGTGGCTTACTAATTAAACAAATTTGTCTAACGGACAAAACAATGTTTAACGTTTCGGAAGGTATATCGCTTTCCGTCGTTGGAAGCAAAAAAAATACAAAGAACAAAATAGTTTTTCTTCGTTTTTTTTTAAATGGTACCTCTAAAATTCTAAAATGCTTTAATTATAAAAAAAGGTTTAAATTCGCCATCTAACAAACAAATAATATACACTGACATTTTTTGAGCCACCCTCAAATTCAAATATTTTCCTGAAATAACCTCCTAATACATACTTAAGGTCTGTACTTATTCAAAATTCCAAAGTTTTTTATTATAGGAGCTACAGGCTACAGATGCCCGACGCATTGACTTTGAACCCTGGCAACCCCTATTTGCGGCAACTTTTTGATTGGCACCCTGTTAAAAGTATATTCCTCTATTCATAAATATACGCAAAAATTAGGTTTTGATTAAAATATATGAGCGTAATAATATACCTGCAACCGGATCTTAGACTATTAACGTCGTCAATTTTTACTACTCTACAGATACACTACTCACTTACCGAATCGCTGTCATCCTGACTGAAATCCCACGATGGGGCCGGAGACGCCCCCCTACTGGTCCCATCGCTCAGCACAAGTCGTTCGTTGTCTAGGTGTATCGAGGGGGGATCGTCTAGGGCCTGATCCTCGGGAATACTGGCAAAAGGCTGGCCCCGGTGGCGGGGTACCGGGGAGGCGCAGGTTTGGGGCGGCTCCCCAGAACCGCCCCCGCCACTTTGAACCACTGTCACATTGAAGCGTCGGCCTGATGGGGCAGAACCGCTATCTGGAAGAAAATATAATATGGAGTAGAGATGAGAAAAACTGCGATTCTCCAATCGCAATTGAAACTGTGATAGCGGTCTTTAAATCGCTGCAACAGTAACTTGCGACTGCGATTTAAATTTTTAAATATTGTAATTGTACTAGATATATGGGACTACTTGTACTAGGTACTCTGGGAACAGTCCGTTAGTTGCGAAAACCCTAGTACATACTAGGATTTCCGGAACTGGAGCTGTTTTTAGAAACCGGGAATTTCGGTACCGCGCCTTTTAGGAACCGGGATCTCCTTTTTTTTGATATTATCGGTACTGAATAATTTTTGTTTAATGGTGGTGCAGTTCATTAATCAGAAAGCAAGGGATGGGTTTTCAAAGTAAAATGGATAAAAAATTGAGATTTTTAATGAAAATAATATCAAATTATTAAGTAATCAGTCATGAAAAAATTAACATGACCAGAAGTATATAGAAAAAAATATAGGTAACTTAAATTTCACATCAAACAACATAAACCAACTTAACTGAATTTGAGACAAAAGCCCTAAAATATTGAATTAAAAATGCGAATATTAAAACATATCATAATAAATATTGTAGAAACTTCAAAAGAGAAAAGAAGCAAGAACAGTAAGAAATAGCATCATTACTTATTTAGAAGAGTTTGATTTCGACCGCTAGAAAGTACCAAAGGACTTTCTCACGTAACAAAAAATAATTTTTTATTATATTGTTACCAAGGCCCGGTTCTGTGATAACCAAAAAGATTTAAATTCTAATTGGTAGTATTAATTAGAGTTTCCAGAAGCGTACTAAAATATTTTCATTCGATTGTGGAGTTCCAAGCAAGGGATGTTCCTCAAAAGTAAAACAGATAAAAAATTGAGTTTCAAATGAAAATAATATCAAATTATCAAGTCATGAGAAAGTAAACAAAAAAAAAATTCAAATAAATATGTTTGAATAAAATTTTGTTTTGTTTTATTTATGATAAGAAAGAGTACAAAATACATTTAAACTGAAAGAGGGCCCGCCATTGAATAACCGGAAACGGAAATAAATACGAAGCCATCATGTCAACCTGTCAATTGGAAAATTAGTTCTCCAGACGACAACGAAGGCTTTCGGTGGCGTATCGTGTTTCCACGATTTAACACAGAGTTGACACTTCTTTCTAGTTAATTATTTTATGGAGCAGCCATTCGACGACCGGTTTCGGAGATTTTTCTCCATCGTCAAGCTGACTTTGCTGTAACACTCGTTCTGACCAACGAAAAGCAGAGAATAGTATTTGAATACAAAATGTACTACTATGGCGAGAGTGCTAGACGCTCTACGCCATCTAGCGGTAGCTGTGACAATCACAGATCTGTGATTGTCAGCAAAGTCGGCCTGACGATGGAGAAAAATCTCCGAAACCGGTCGTCGAATGGCTGTTCCCTTCGGTCTGATGAACTTAATGCAGAGAATAAGCATATATGTAGGGTTTTTTGGCCCCTTTTTCCGCTACTCGTATTTTGTTTATTTAAATAATAACTGTTTATATATTTATAATTCATTTATTTTTGTATTCCTAAAATATTTTGATTAAAAGGAAGTATATAAAAGTGGGCAACTCTGTGCCGGTCAAGCTTAATCACGTGACTAAAAGTTTATTTGATATGAACTGTAAGGTGTATAACACCGGTAATTTATTTTCGCCATTTTTATTGAAACAAAACAGCTTCTCTCGTGTCCAAAATTCGGATCTCAGCCAACACCTAAACAAACACGTGTATATGATCAACAAATCAAACCAAAAACATTACTAGTATATCCCGAGGTATATCCGTATATGAATTACTTGTAAATGTAATTTCGGCTTTAGAGGTACACCATACTGTTAACCAACTCAGAATATAAGACGGTATCTTGAAAAAAAAGAGAGCTCAAGTGTCGAATTATCAGTGATTCAAGTACTCAATCCTATTTAAAAAATTAAAGTTCATTACCTTTTTAAATCTCTTTCTAATTAACCCTCAACTGTAATCTTTCTAATTCTAAATGACCTTCTGCTAGAGAGGAGCATGGATGACGTCACCATCCCCAACCCTTTCTCTTGCAACCACCGCTGCTATTACACTACCAAGAAAAATACTCTTTAATAACGTCTCCGGCAAGTCAAAATAAATATATTTTCTACGTATTATTCCTACATTTCTATCCACTTTCTCATGTTCACTAGTTGATATAATATATAGGTATCTATTTCTGGACTCAGAAGTAAATAAAATTATGGATTATATGAAAACGAAAGCGAATGTTAGAAATATAATTTCAACTCAAAGAAAATATTTTATTAGCGTTAGTATAATAACATTTAAATATTTATACGTTAAGAGTTTAATAAATAATTCGATTAAATCAATTAAAGCACCAGTTTCCAAAACTTACGATATTGAATCAATTTTTTGGGTTATTGCCAAGATAAAAATATTCCATGTAAATCAATATTTAAAGAAGAGAATTGAGTTTAATAGGTTCTTATAACTATGCGAACCAATGTTATACTTAAACAGTTTAAATTGATGCTGGTTTAGAAGCGCTTAACAAATTTGAATATTCAACAGCGCTGGTGGGTTGATTAATTATTTCGAGCAGTGGTGTAACTCGTACTATTGTTTAGAAATGACCATAGCTTTGAGTAAAATATAAATTTCCATCTAAAACAAAACTAATATCCGATGCTGAAGCAATAAGAGAAATGAAGAGTACATGAAGAAATGACTTTAACCAGAATCCACCCCTCAGAACGAGCATCTCTTTCGACAGTTCAGCCTTGGTTCAGCCAATAAAAACTGTCGCACCCTAAGGTAAAACCTCAGTGTAATTTAAGGCTAACACTAATATCAAAATAGAAGCAAAATGCACCAGACTGTGATAAAAACACGAGAAAAAGGAGAAAGCGACGGAAGTCAGAGTTTACCACGCCAAGAATTTGTAACTTTAAGAAACATCTCACTATAGTATTGAGCAATAAAAAGGATTGGAAGAGAGAAACGTCTGCTCAGCATGTAAAAGACCATACGATAATGTGGTATACTGATGCTGCCAAAACCAAAACAGGGACAGGGAGAGGAGTATTTGGTCGAAAACTAAATACTCCGAACCAATGGGAACCTACCCCAGCATTTTTCAGGCAGAAATCTAATAAGAAGATGCGAAAGATGCGATCGAAAGATGCGTACAATTTATCTTAGATAGACTACTCACTAAAAGCGATCAAGTCAGTAACCATCAACTTGAAGTTGAATACTATTAATAATAATAATATAATAATTAGTACTTAATGCTTTGAATAAAAAGACTAAGGAAGGAGCATACAAAAAGGTCAAGAGCGATGTGGACCAAAAATGGCCGTCTTAAATTCTGGTCTATCAGTGCCGATCATGGTGCCGCGCCGTTCAAATTTTATTTACCTAAAACGTGTAAAAGTATGATGTAGGGTAGGGCTCAACACTTTGTTTTGTTATAAAACAACAAAAAATAAAATTTGAACGGCGCGGCACCATGATCGGCACTGATAGACCAGAATTTAAGACGGCCATTTTTGGTCCACATCGCTCTTGACCTTTTTGTATGCTCCTTCCTTAGTCTTTTTATTCAAAGCATTAAGTACTAATTATTATATCATTATTATTAATAGTATTCAACTTCAAGTTGATGGTTACTGACTTGATCGCTTTTAGTGAGTAGTCTATCTAAGATAAATTGTACGCATCTTTCGATCGCATCTTTCGCATCTTCTTATTAGATTTCTGCCTGAAAAATGCTGGGGTATGGGTTCCTCATTGGTTCGGTATTTGGTTTTCGACCAAATACTCCTCTCCCTGTCCCTGTTTGGTTTTGGCAGCATCAGTATACCACATTATCGTATGGTGGAATTACAAATTCTTGGCGTGAGTAAAGCTCTGACTTCCGTCGCTTTTCTCTCTTTCTCGTGTTTTATCACGGTCTGGTGCATTTGCTCTTCCGTGATATTGTGTTAACCTTTAAATTACACTGAATTTTACTTAGGGTGCGACACTTTATTGGCTGAACAGTGTGAACTGTCGAAAAGATGCTCGTTCTGAGAGGTTCTGGTTAAGTTCTTCGTCATGCTCTTCATTTCTCTTATTGCTTCGGCATCGAATATTGAATTTGTTTTAGATGAAGGCTATATTTTACTCAAAAGCTATGGTCATTATAAACAATGGTACGGTTACACCACTGCTCGAAATAATAATCAACCCACCAGCGCTGAAAACAATTTGTTGCGCTTCTAAACTCAGCATCAATTAAACTGTTTAAGTAGTGTAACATTGGTTCGCATATTGGCTTAGAACCTATTAAACTCAATTCTCTTCTTGGTGATTTTTTCCATGTTATCTTGGCAATAACAAAATTCATTCGTAATTTGGAAACTGTTACAATGATTTAATCAGGTATTGATAAAACTCTTAACGTATAAAATATTTAAATGTTATTATACTAACGCTAATAAAATATTTTCTTTGAGTTGAAATTATATTTCTAACATTCGCTGAGTCCGAAATGAATACTATATCACTCAACTAGTGAACATGAAAGTGAATGAGAATGAATGTGAATAATAATATGAAAATATTTATTTTGACTTGCCGGGATATGAAATATTTTCTTGACAATAATGGCAGCAACGGTAATTCAGAAGAAAAGTTGAGGGATGACATCATCTCTCTCAAGATTGAAGATCATTTAGAGAAAAGATTACAGTTGAGGCCAATAGAAAGAGATTTAAAAGGCCAATGAGCTGACAAATTGATACCGTCTGATGCCGTCGGCACAGAGCTCTCTTTCAGATACTCTTATTCTGAGTTGGTGGCTGGTATGAAGCCACCTGTAAACCAGTATTTCATATACGGATATACATCAGGATATACTAGGTAACAATGTTTTTGGTTTGATTGTTGATCATACGTGTTTGTTTAGGTGTTGGCTGAATTTT